AAGAGAGAGATCTTTTAAGAAAAGGCTACTTTACTTAGATAGAGTTTCCCCTAGGTTTTTTTTTTGAATTTAGTGTTTTAAAAAATTCACAAAGATGAAAATTGATGGACGGGAAAGGAGGAGATGGAAGAGAAAGATGAAGAGATAAAGGAGGAAGAGTGAAGATGAAGAAGACGTTGAAGAATGAAGATGAAGAAAAAATGAAGAAAGCAAACTGAAATGGAAGTCTCGTATACCTTCCAAAACTATCTCTTCAATTGTATGGTATAATTACAAAATATACCTGACATTTTTACATGTACATTTTTATACCTCAACTTAATATTTTAGTGCAAAGTAAGTCTACTCCTTATACTTTAAATCTTTTGTTTTTAAAATGCAAGTAAGTCACTGCTACTTACTTATTTAAGTCTACATCCCATTCTACCGGCCACTCTGGAGTTAATACCCCACTCTGGAGTTAAATGGCTCGAACCGGGTTCTAGTTCGGCCCGACTCGACTCGACTCTATGCAACAACTCGATTCAGTAGGATGTCACACTCCGAGAGGCAGAATGATCTCCTCTTCGCTCGAATCACAAAAATGAAATCCGATTTTCGATCGGTACATTGTAAGGCCTAGTTACTCATTTTCGGTATTAATTTCAAAACTCAAATTAATTAATTAATTACAAGATTAATCGAATTAGTAACAATTAGAGTTTGATGAAATTAAATACAGATAATTAAAATATGTGGACATCGTATATAGAATTGGACTACTATGTAGTTAATGGACAATAAAGACTTCCACAGAAAATAGAAATGCTTCAATTTCAAGTTATCAATCAAATTAGTAGGTAAATATTGTTTAAGTTAGGATACCCAGTACAAGCGATCATGGTTAGTTAAATTATAAAAGGGAATTAAGAATTAAAATACATTGGAGGTATAAATCACTGATATTGTAATATGTGAATATAAGAACCAGTCTAGTTATATTAATAATAGATAGAAACAATTCCTAAAATTATTGGTATAACTAATACTATGATTAATGGTACTTTTATTTTGATTTGCTAATATTATTGATACCATCATTATTATGGAACATTAAATTACTAACGACACTTATATGAAAGATATAAACAAATAAACAAGAGTACCGAATATATATAGTATAATAAAGTAAATACCGACTTTAATTATTTAGCGAATAAGGATTTAATTTCTTGAATTCGAATTCTTACTTAGAATTTTCCTTCTAGATGCTTGTGAAGTTCCAGAACATCAAAACAAAAGCTGAGAGCGGTAGTAATGAAGATAGTCCTTTAAAGGATAATAATGAACGACAATAAAGAATGGTGAGTAGTGTTAGATAATTCGCATCATCCGCCTGCATATTTGCATTCATGCATTTACGGCTAAATGTTATCATGCATTTGTTAAAATGCTATATTGTGCTGCATTATTATTGCGATTAATTTGCTTGATTACTTGTGTTGTGATATTACTGTGCCTTGTTTGTGTGGAATTGGGATGAAGTGGGTCACCATGGGTTTGTGAGGATGGTCTAAGAGACCGTTGGCCATATGGGAGATCGGCGCCCCATGTGCACCTGATGATATGATCTGGATGATATAGAAAACCACAGGGTGGTCTCTTATTCGGCGCACTTGATAATCTGGATTTGATGGTAGCCCGCAAGGTGGCCTCCTGTTGTGTGCGCCTGATGATCTAGTTTTGACGGGGACGATCAGGTTGCCTCCTGTTGGTATGGAAAAGAAAAGAGAGATTGGAAAAAAAAAAGAGAGGGCTGGTCAAGTGAGGATTAGACCGGTCGGCCATGTATAGGGGATCAGCTCCCTGGTGCACACGTTATGAGAGGATGGGCTATGTTGTATTGCCAATTTGTGTGGAAAACTGCACTGATCATATAATTAATCGTGACCAGATAAAAATATTTTAGCATCTGTGTATTGTGTGGCGATGAGAGGGTTTCTATACCCCTACCTGCATTGAGTTTGGCGCTCACATCCCTGCCTACTATTTTTTTTCAGGTAATAGAAAGAAAGGAAAACCTATAGAGTTGAAAACACTTATAAATTATAAGAGCTGTTAATGATAGAAAATAATCTGATGTAAATTAAAAGTAGAGTTCCGCAATTATATTCCAATTGGGTTGTGAAATAAATAATAAAAGTCCCATCGTTTAAATTTAATGAGACTGTATTTTGGGATTATGTGGGATGAGAGGGTTATCTAACCCTACTCATTGAGTTTGGCGCTCACCCCTGCCTACTATTTTTTTTCAGGTAATAGAAAGAAAGGAAAACCCTATAGAGTTGAAACACTTATAATATAAGACTGTTAATGATAGAAATAATGATGTAAATGTAAAAGTAGAGTTCCGCAATTATATTCCAATTGGGTTGTGAATAAATAATAAAAGTCCATGTTAAATATATGAACTGTATTTTGGATACGTATGAAAAATAAGTTAATGAGTCTGAATCCACAATTATGAATAGAATGTGAGTTTTAAATAATTTAAGCTTACTACGGGCTTCGAGGGCCTTAAGCCCACACAGGTCCTAGTGCCGGTCCGGCCCGCGGAAATGGGTCGTGACAAGATGTTCTTTAATTTAAATTATTTTCAACAAAATTAACCAATTTGAAATTATAAATAATTTAACTTACAATTTTTTTCTTAATTAAATTATATATTTTAAAATACTATTAGACAATATCTCTAATATTATACATAAAGATATTTATTGTGCATAGTATAAGCACATGGCTAGTATATATAAATCATTCTTGAATCAAACATGGATTGAAACCAATTAAAAGACATTTTTTAAAATTATTCACACTTTATTACTTTTTAGTGAATTATAAAAAAAATCCTCATTCGAACAAAAACTTGTTTTCATTAATTTGAGTATATCCGGGCACGGACGAAGCCGCATATTGGCCAAAGGAGATAATGAGCCCGTGATTTTCTTTCTCTTGTTTTTTTTATTTTTTTATTTTTTATTTTTAAAAAAAAAACTCAATAATCACTACAAGAAAAAAAGGAATTACTATAAAAACATTTATTGCTAATTCCTTATTTTTTGTCCCTAATTTAATATTTCTAAAGAAAAAGCTAAAACTCTAATTAACTTTTGTAGTTTTATTCTTTTTTTAATTAATTATTGGTGTTCATAGCCTATTAACTTTTAATTTAATAATTGTTGATTTCCCCTAATACATTATATTTTAGGGAGTTTAATAAATTAATTATGAATGAGAATGTTTCACTTAATTGCATATGATATTCAACGTAATTTTGGTATATAATAAATTAATTAATTTTACAATAGAAAATATAAATTTTTAAATTTACATAATAATAATATTTTATTAGATAGTTATAGGAAAATACTTTATAATAGAAAATTAATCATAAATTAATGATCATTATCAGTCAATCAAACTACTCAACATGTTCTTCTAACACTTTCTAAGTAAGTCATTGAAAACTTTGAGATTAATATAAAAAATATTCATTCTGATCTAAAAGGTGCAACCTAATATAATGAGCTACTAACGACATTTTAGTGACTTATAAAGAAAGATTTTTATTTTCAAAAACAGACAATAACTATTATATTTTAATTATAACAGTTTATTTTTATTAATGCAAGAAAATCTCGTGACTTATATTTATTTAGATATGTTATTTTTATGTAATTGAACCATCAATAAATTTTCTTGAATTAGGGTAATTGAGTGACCAACAAAACAATTAACAAATCTCAGGAAACGAATCTCACCTCCAATACCAACAAATTTGCTAATTAAAGCGAACTTATTACGTCAGTCAATCAATGAAGTCAAGCAAAAGAGTGTAACTTCTTTGACTTTTCTTGCTTTGTCCTTATCTCAAACCTTTTATTTATTTTTATTATATAGATTACAGCATTCAATCCCCAATATTTTTTTCTCTAAAGTTCCTAAAACAAATCAACTCAAAGTGCTGTCGCTAAAACATCACTCAGTGACCCAAAATGGTGGTTGCTTGCAGCCCTGGAGGTGGTGGCTTAGGTTCTTTGGCTGACATGAAGAACTTAACAGTCCAAGTTATCAACGGCCGTTGGTTCATGGTTTTCGCGTCATTTGTAATAATGGCTGCCTCTGGTGCGACTTACATGTTTGGTCTTTACTCAAACGACATCAAAACGGCCTTAGGTTACGACCAGACGAAGCTGACTCTGCTAAGCTTTTTCAAAGACTTAGGATCCAGCCTTGGCGTCTTTTCCGGCCTAATCAACGAGTTAACACCCCCGTGGGTGGTTCTTTCTATGGGGGCAGTCCTAAACTTTTTTGGGTATTTCATGATTTGGCTTGCTGTCAGCGGGAAAATCTCCGGCGTCCATTTTTGGCATATGTGCTTATATATTTACATAGGAGCAAACTCTCAAGCCTTTGCAAACACTGGTTCTTTAGTCACGTGCGTCAAGAAC